TATCATGTTTGGAATGAAGTTATGGTTTGATAGCCATGAAATCCTTAAATTCTCAAAACCCTTGTTTCTTTTAAAAAATAGAGATTTTTCTTCTTGATATTCCTTAATTCTTGATTTCAAAACCCTAGTGCTTTGTTTGAACAATAAAAATATATGTTTGATGATCTCTTGCATATTTTTCTTAAATTGTTCTATTGGAATCGTATGGGAGAAAATTGAGGATTTTTGAGATTTAATGTGATTTGAGAAATACCTATGGAATTTGGGGGTTTTGAAAATTATGAACTTTTGTTGAGAAATTGTTAGTGATTGTATCTCATATAGGTGTTTGAATGACCATGGGTGGTCGTTGACCGGGTATCATAGAGTGGGTAGATGTGTGTGGTTCTTACTCTGTGCGGGTTTAAACTTTTCCTACCACTCGTAGTGGGGTTGGTGCCTTGTGAGAACCAAACTACTATTAGCTCACGGGTGCCGTGTCAGAGGATTAGTTTACTATGCTTGAGTCGGATTCGTTATTGCCAGTACATTGGTGTGGGACATTGCATCAGTAGGCGCCCTTCCCGAAGTTTGATATCCTTGCGAGGATTTGTGTGTGTGTGAGCCAGGATATTCTCGATGTGTTTATTCATGCGATTATCTTACATCAGACTTGAGATACAGTGTGGTTATTGTTTTATTGCGTTATCTTTTGGATATGATTATCTTGGAAATTGTTGTGGGAATAATTACTCTTTGTAATGGTTATTTATGGTGGGATTGACTTACTCTTCCACTTAATTATTGTTAATGTATAAACTTGAGATATTTAAAAATATCATGTTTTCTTTCAAAATTTACGTATGCTATTTGTGAAATGAGACCGACCATTTTTTACGTTTTCCAAACCTTGTTAGAGTTTGAGAGGATTTTCCTACAGAGCTTAGTGCTCACCCCCTACCAATAACGTTTTCTTTTCAGATTTTATGCTAGAGGAAGATTTCAGCGTTGACGAGCCGGAAAATTGGGAGGTTCCACCAGAGGGGAACCTAGATCCTGAGGTGGACATCTAGAGCTCTAGTTTATTTTTGTGCTAAACTAGGGAATTTATTTACAATCATGTATAGTCTAGTATTTTGTTTATTCTGTTGCTAAGTTTGAGTATAATTCTTTTGAAATGTAACTGTCATAGCTTGGCCTATTCTTTTGGGATGATATTGTGGACATTACATGTGGTGAATGAAATTTTATTATTTGATGGGTAAATGGACCCGGTGTGGTTAATATTTATTCATATATGGACCTAGTGTGGTCAATGTAGTATAATTGCATAGGTTGTGTTTTGGGTAGAGTTCCCCGTACAAAGGAGACTCTGCCCGAATTTTGTTAAATTAAAGATGTTCTTTAATGATGGATTTATTTAGTTGCTCTCATGACATGAATGTTTTTAAATAGTAATGTCATCCAGGGTGGTTTTTGGGGCATTACACTCTCTCACGCCTCTGTCTCTCACTTTTGCCTCTCTCTCCCATGCCTCACTCGCCCAATTTATCACGCTTCTATCACATGAAATCAATCTCAAATCTTCTCCCAATCTCAAATCTCACTCATAATAGTGGCATTAGGACGACTATAGTAAAGAGAGACAGACGAAAGCCATAGAGAGAAAAGGAAAGGAGAAAGGCAGACAGAGAAGTGGAACCTTAGAAATGCCATTTGTTGGAATCCATCTCAATCTCACTTCAACACCACTGCCAGGTATGTTTGTATTTCCTTCTCTCTCTGCATCTATCTTTCTCTACTGCTTAGCACACATAAAGGACACATGGAAGGGGTTTGACACAATACCCAGGAGGTGTTCGACCAAATGCCAAAGAAGAAACCAAATGTCCCTAACCGCTGCCCTCTCGCTACTTCTCTCTCCACTGCCCAGTTACTAATTGTGTGCGTTATGTGTAATTGTCAGAACTTTCTGGCTTTTCATTTGTCATAATGGTTTAGATTTTATTTCTTGAAATTTTAAACCTCATAATTCGGGTACTTTTTCTAATTTATTGAAGAAAGATTTAGGGGAGTGAGGAAAGGGGTTGGTGGTGATATTGACAGAGAACGTGTTATCGGTTTTTTTTGTATCATTCACATCTCCAAAGCCAAAGCCAAAGTCGAAGTCAGGTTCGCATTGCTATGTTTTCTAATCATGATCTATTATTATTTATTTTTTTGTGTAATGCGTTGTTAACCCAATTCTTAGCCCATACAGGAATTAGTTTGAGGATTTTTTGTTATGGATTCAGTTTTGGGACCTTATACGGTTAGATCTGACGGGTCTTTGTGTTAGTGTGAGATTTTTTTAACTTTTCTCTTCAACCAGAACGTCACCGGCCACGTCGTCTGTTTGAGCAAAGCTATTGATGGCAAATCATCGGGTTGGATTGTATGTGAGGCAGCTTCCATTTGAAACCCAAGAATCCAGGTCCCATTCCCTTGATTTTATTGGATTTATTTTTTAAATTTCTTTCTACTTGATATGTTTAGTTCATTATTTTCATATTTGTTCTTCAAATTATCCTTTTTTGATGTATTATTTGCATTTGAAATTGTTATAGCCAATTTGGTGGTAATTATGGTTTTTGTTTTTTTTTTTAATCTGGATTGATTGTTATTGGTTGTTGTAGAGAGTTTTGATTTGAATGTGAAATTTGTGGCTTGATGATTGTCTTTTTTTGTTCTAGCTAATTTGTCCAAAAAAAAAAAAAGAATTGCATAATTTGAGGTTTTCACTTTGAGTACATAGTTATGACGTGTGTACTATAGCCAGAAAAACAACAAACCTCTCATTTTCTGGAGGTTTCAAGTCACTCAAACTCCCAAAAATCACCGTCAAAGTTAGCCGGAAGAGCCCGCGGTCACGGTGCCAGAATGGGCGACTCCGCCGCAGAAAGCTACTCCAACGCCCTTGCTGAGGTGGCGAATTCCAATGGAACCCTGACAATTTCTATATTATATTGTATTGAACCTTCACGCTGGTAATATCTTTTTTTTCCCCGGTAAGTAATTGAATTTCACTTTTGGGAAATTTGATTAGATTGTCACTGCCCTTTGTGTTCAATTATAATTCCCTACCCCCTGGAGTTGATCTCCTTTGGATGCTAGGGGATGGGTGTGATGGTCCTCAAATAGCTTGCTATTGAGCACTAATTCCATCAAGTTAGTATTAGCATTAGTTATTAATTATTTGATATTGAGCACAATTCATAGTTCATATTGAGACATGTTTTTTGCTATTAGCATTAGTTATCAATTTCTATTTTCATATTATGTGTTATTACTATTTGTTGTTATATGTTACAGTTTGTTTCTTTTGCTTAGACTTGGTGTTTCAAGTTTGTTCAATTTTATGTTTGTTTGATGTTGAGGTTGAGTTAAGATGACTGGATATTGTATATGATCGCAAAGTGTTTGTTGTTTTGCATCAAGGAAAAAAAGTTTCCCTGAATGACTATCTCTATAATTTTCTTTTTTGGAATGGGTAGAATTCTTAAATGTTTGAATAGGGTGGAACTTAGTAGCCTGTTTGGACATAGTTCTATTTTGTATTGATACGTTATGTGAGTTTCTTTGTCCTTATAGCCAACTATTGGTTGCTTATCAATTATTCATTTGTCTTAAATGTCAAATATATTTATGTTATCTTTCTTACATGTGTTCGTGGATTTTGCAGCTTCATGGTGTTGACTGTGCCACTCCATGTCTCCAATTTTAGCTGGGTTTGCTTACATTGTGCCTGATGTAATTTTTCTCAAGATGGATGTGGATGTGACTGAAATGAAAATAAGTAAAATGTAGCCATTTTTCAATGTTAATTTAAAGCTAATATGATACAAATAGCATGTTGGTTGACAATTTGCAATAAAGTGCATATTCATAAATTTTATCATTTTCTGGCAGGCCTAAAACATATGTTATTCTCTTCACATGAATGTTCTGTGTTTCATTTTTTGCACTTTGCACTTCATATGATTTTCTTTTGCTCTCTCTACATTCTTGCTTGATTTATACTAATTTTTAGTATAATTTTTTGGTGATGCATTATTCTGATTTGGGATTGATTGATCATATGCTTAGTTCATTTTTTACACTTTGCCCTTCAAATGATTTTCTTTTGCTCTCTCTACATTCTTGCTTGATTTATAGTAATTTTTAGTATACTTTTTTGGTGATGCATTGAGCACTGTTTGCTATAAAAGTATAGTTTAATTTGTCTCTTTGTTTGGTAAATCATAAAGTGGTATTAATTTGATGATGTTGAAATTTTTAGGATAGGTTAACTTTTGTTCGTGGGTTTCAACACTTGGGCAATTGTTGGTTGTAAGGGCAATTGCTTTCCAAATTTGGCCCATTGCATTATATTATTGAAGAATTTTTTTTTTTAAATTTAGTTGATATATATATATATATATTTTTTCTCAGTTTGTAAATTTGATTTGGTTCTATTAGTATTTTTTTTCTGATGTATTTGTATATGTGTTGTTATTTTGTAGAATTTTTTGTTCATTTTTTACGAGTAACACAATATTTTTAGACAAAGACAATTACTAATATATATGTATAATATAATTCTTTCAAGGTACTCTAACACTAAAATATTTCTAAATTTTGTGATCCACACTCATGTTCACCCATCCATGCTCCCGCTCTTCATATTATGATATGTATTTACTTTAATCACGGTATTGGTGAAGGCTTGAGTAAATAAGCATGTTAGAGTAAGATGGTCAAGTGTGTGTGTGTGTGTGAGAGAGAGAGAGAGAGAGAGAGAGGCGAAGGCTTGAGTTTGTTCTTTTTATTTTGTGGTCGCGAAGCGGATTCGAAAGAGAAAATAAAAAGATAAACAGAAAAGAAAATACAACACCGGATAGAGAGAGGCAAAGAGAGAGATGAAAGCCTGGAGCTGAGATAGATAGAAACAGCAGGGCCAAAGCTCAGGCCTCGAAGCAAAATCATCTCTCTTTTCTGTGTACTCTTTCTCTCCTCTTCTCTTCATCTTTATCTCCTCTTCTCTTCATCTTTATCTCATCTTCATCTACGCCTATGGATCCATGCCATTTAGTTTCCTCAATCATTATGGAACTTCTCGAAGGTATATATACAACTTATCTGCTACCACCAGATCTTGTAATCCGTTCTGTGTTCTCCAAATTTATTGTTCTTCCCTCTCGGTCTAATTTTTCTGTAATTTTAATTTTCAGTTGACTTATATTGACGAAAATTTCTTGATTTTTTTTGGTTGAAGAAATGCAAGGTTTTGTTATGAGGCCAACTTAGTTTTCCCATGACGTCGACTTATTTGAATGCTTGATTTGGAATGATTTTGCGGTTAGTTTCTTTTGTTTTTTTCTAATTTGGAATTTGGAATTTGGGGTTCTAATTTAAGGAGTTATATATTATAATTTAAGGAGGATTTTGGTTCTAAATTATTATACTTTAATTAGATCTGTGTCCCAATCTTGGTCTATTGTGTAAATCATCTTGGGGTTTGAAGATGTTTTGTAAATTCTTTCCGGTTTGGAATTCATTTGTTTGTGTATGGTTCTATAGATGTGTGTTTTGGTGTATATTTAATGCAATATTTGGTGCGCATTATGGTTTCTTTGTTTTAAGTAACTGATTCTTTTGACTTGATCGGCCTCTTGTTAAATTGTGTTGACTTTTGCAAATTAAGGTGATGACAACTTGCAAATTAAGGTGATGACAATGAACTATGGAGACACTATAATACCAAACGTGTTTTTTATTTTTGTTTTCATAATTTTTTAAACATAAATGACTATCAAACATGTTCTCTCTTTTTAGTTTTTACCGTTGAAAAAACAAAAAACTATTTATATTTTTTATTTTTTGAAAACACAAAAACAAAAAACATTACCAAATGCACTGTTTGTCAACAAATTAAGTGCCAATAGCATTGCTTTTTTTATATTAAGGGTACTCAAAATTGACAATGCGATTGAATTGTAAGGTCTGTGATGTCCTATTGATTCACCACCTTTAGTGCACCACCTTTGGTATCAAATGATTCTTGATATTATCTGAATGTGTTATCATTATTATCACTATTATTGCTATTATTAGTATCCCTATTAAGTAAGGGTGGCGATATTAAGTTTGCATGCCAGTATGCGGCGAAGTTTTCCGAACCGAGTTCTGTTCAAACTAGGCTGTCGGTTTTTGTCATGTTTGATTTGAAATTGCCATGTTGAATCCAGCATGTTGTGCACCACAAAAGAAGGTTCTTTGGATTTGTCGTGTTTGGTTTGAAATTGCCACGTTGAATGCACAGCATGTTGTGCACCACAAATGAAGGTTTGTGACTTTAAAAAGTTTGTTATGCAGGTTTTGGTTGACAACTGCTGCAATTTTGCAGTTTTTCTCCTTCCAAATTTTATATGCATGTCCCTTTTCTGTTGAAGAATGAGCTTGTCCAACAAAGAGTCTTTTACCAACGACAAAAAGCTAACTGCTACAGGCAAAACCACCTCTTTGAATCCAAATGCTGCAGAATTCATTCCTTTTGCTCTCAGATTACCAAGCGCTGGTACCACAGATGCAGGGTCAACTTTTCCTGCATCTGGCACTTCAACATTAGGAAAACTTGCCCTAGATCGATCGGAGTCATCTGTTTCAAATAGCTCAGATGATGAGGCCCACCAATACTGGCGTCGCCAACTCCCTGATGATATCACTCCCGACTTTAATGTCATGGGAGAAAATGATTCTCAAGAAACAAATAGCATCCCTTTTTCAAGGTTATCCTTGACCGATGTCAATGAAACCTCAAGGTACTCTGCTTCAACTGGCAGTAGCTTTATGTTGAAGGAGCAGCAGGAGTTATCTCCTCATCAGATCAATGGTAACAGCTTTTCAGAGAAGATGAGGTATTCTGTTTCATCCTATTGCGAAGCTCCTTCTTCAGCTGGTTTTCATCATTTGTCTACAAAACCATGGGACAAGCAAATTGTGAACAATGATCAGCTTCACATGAGTGTTAGAGAGGGGTCTCCTTACAATGGAACTTCTAGACAAGGCTTCCTAAATGACATGTTAAATGAACAAGCCATGGTGGAAAGTATAGACATGAATCCTCTCGAGTTTTTGGCTTCTCAATTCCCTGGTTTTGCTGCTGAAAGCCTTGCAGAGGTGTACTTTGCCAATAAAGGTGACTTGAACCTCACCATTGAAATGCTGACTCAGCTGGAGGTATGCTCAATTTTCTCATCTTTGGTTGAGTGAGTTTGCATCTGATTTTAATTGTCAAACTAACAAGATACTCCCAGTCTTTAGGTGTTTCCGTTTTTGAGCAAAATTAATTGCAGAAATATGATATTCTTGAAACTGCTAGGTCTACGGTGCACATATATCTTAAACTACACATGTTGATTTGTTGCCTTACTCCGACTTAAGGTTAGCATTGGGATTTTCAGGAATCGCGTTAAAGGAAATATCATTCCAGAACAAAAAGGATAATGATCATTGAGATGAGATATCTGTAATCATAACCTATGATTAGGTGAAATATACTATGAATTATCATCCTAAATATGAAACCTTTGGAAGATCTTTATTGATACGGTCATCAACTTGACAAGTTCGACGACAGCCATCTGATTTTATGTGTTCTCCTTTTCAAGGTGGCTCTATATTAAGCCTTATCCTTCGCCATAGCCCAGTTATGATGTCCTTTTTTTCAGTACTTATCATTTTTTTTTTTTGGCTTGTCCTTCTTCGAGCATTCAACATGAATCAAACATTTCCTTATCAATTGCTTAGGTGGTCCATGCTGCACACTGCTAAAATCACCTCGGCGAACTCCATTTAATTTATCTTCAGTTCAGGCTACCTCTTTCCTCCCTTGCGTTCATTTTTTTTCTTTTACTTGTAACAAAGCTCCTCCATCCTCGTCATCCCCATTTTAGGTTATGCTTTTTCACTGCTTTGCGATGTAAGTACTGAATATTTTCGTGACAAATGCATTGCCAGCAGAAATCCCAATTGGAAAATTCATAAAGATTGATCTTCATAAGATGTGAGTATTAGTAGTTTGATTTTCTCATTAATGACTAAAGATTTTGTATTTCTCGGTACTCACTCATTGTGATTATCTTTAATGAAACAAAAAATATGACGTGCTTTGAAGTTGTTCAATGCTTTCAGTTCTTTCTAATTTCTATCACTACTTTGATACAGACACATCTGAACTGAGTTACTGCAATCAATGTAATGATTGGAAAATGTTGTTTCAAATCTTTTAAGATTTTTAGCAGATCAAGTTCTAACTGGTTGGGTGCTTTGTTCAATGCTAACTGTGGAAAGCAATCCCTCCGAGGCCTTCTGCTGACTGGGCACAGTTCGCTCTCCATATAGGATTGGGGTATTCAGTCTAACTCTAGGTCATATGTTTGCTTCTGGTTTCTTGGATAGACGACCTAGATGGGGAGGCTGAGATGGAATAGCTCACATGATGAAATCTTTTTTTATAACATAGAACTAGCAGCATTGTTGTGTTCTGGCTGAAAGAGCATTGATGATTCTAATTGAAAGTCGTAAAGTTGTATCCGACTTGACACTTTTGATCCATTTCCATTCCACGTTATGTATAAACACGAGGGTCAGAAGACTTGGCCGAGTCGTCCAAGAAGTCTCCATGTCAACCTTGAGTTGTCAAGTTATTGCCACCTAATTGTGCAATATTGTTCCATGACGCCGCGATTTGGGCCGAATCACTCCTAATATTGGACATCTTTTTGGTCATGTTGCCCGATACCATTCTGCAACGTCGAGCCCTGCCCACGACCCTCGCTGATACCACGACCAACGTCCTTGAACCATGCTATAGACCATTTGTGCTCCTCTTGTTATTTTCTTCTCTTTGTTGGAGACTGTGTCATGTTAGTCATGTATGATATTTCCTGCAATAAGCTGAACTCATAGCTGTATAAGGACAACGTTTACAATCTTCCACTCTAGGTTCCATAAGAGATTTTCAGATTTTATATGCTATAAGCCTATTATTCTGTGATTCCTCTGGATCTTCTTCCAATCTAGAGGTGCTCAAGAGTACATTTTATCTTTGATTGTAGCTCCAAGTCGATGGTGGTTTGAACCAGAACCTGAACTCCAAGGCCTTGTCAACTCCAAATCTTAGTGCACTGGATTTTCCTGCACTTCCTTTGGCTGATGGTCAGAGTAGCGTGCAGAAATTTGCCATGGATGATCTCCAACAAAACATTAGTCCTTTTCGGTCTTCTGAAAAGGACAACATGCTTTTGTTCAAATCAAGCTCTTCAATTCCATCCCGGAGTGCTGTGGATTTTGCTTCTGCTGTCAGGAAAATGGCGTCTCATGACTCAGATATATGGAAATCTGATACAAATCGGTCAGCAAATGTTAGTGTTGCCTCAAGTAGAAGTTCACACATCTTGGCTAGCTCATACAATGGTGTTCAGGGGAGGGGCATTTATGGTGAAAGGTTGCAGAGTCGGAGTTCAGCTCGTGCAGCTCCTGTCTGGCTCGAAACTGGAGAAGCAGTGGGTAATATTTCTGAGGCAACAACTTAACTTGCTTTATGAACCTTTAACTGTGGAACATATGCTTTCTGCACTTATAAATGCTTTAACTTTGTTGAGATCGCAGCAAATATTTATTCTGAGAAGAGGGAGGAAGCTCGTGACCATGCACGCTTACGTAATGCATACTTTGAACAGGTATGTTTGTAATTTCCTAAAGATAGACTTCGCTGTTCTTGGTGCTCAATTCTTCCCCTCCCCCTCCCCCTCCCTTCTCTTTTTTTTTTATTCCTTCTCTTTCTCTCCTGACAAACCAAATAATGAAGAAGGAAAATAAAGAAAAACAAAAAACCATTTTAATCTCAAGAGTGTTAGGTTAGGTCAATTTCCATAATCTCTGAGCTGGCAATCAAGATTTTGGACTGTTTACAGGGTGAACACTAAACAATTGAAATCATTAGAGGAGCATGTTGCTGAAGTACTTGGCAAATACTCCTATGAAGTTCATTGCTAAAGACATGTTCTCTTTGTGTATATCTGGCTGCTAAATGCTGGAGGGATTTTGCACTTCTAAGTGTAAGAGTGTATATGAAACCCCCTACTATTAGACCATCAAGTATTTTCTTTTTGATGTCCTTACTATTAATAATGATGTGTCAAGTCATGGAATCCCAATGAAGAAGTCCAAGAGTTATAGTCACAACAACACTATTAGACTATGTCAAGGTCAGCAAATTAGGTCAGTTTTGTAGGTTCAATAGCATTACACTTTTAGTGGACCCCTGTTCTTATTTTCTTATTTTTACTGTCGTATCATTTATCTTCTAGACCACTTGTTTTTTACCACTAATTTTCCCCCCCTTTTTCCCAAGTAAATTATTTATAACTTTTTTGTGTCCTTTCTGAACAAAAAAAAAAAAAAAAAACTTTTTTACATACATTGAAACAGGCACGACAGGCATACCTCATTGGGAACAAGGCTTTGGCTAAGGAACTGAGCGTAAAAGGGCAGCTGCACAACATGCAGATGAAGGCAGCTCATGGAAAAGCTCAAGAATCTATTTATCGCCAAAGGTTTGTTGTCCCATGCCTGCTCTCGAACCATTTATTTCTCACTTAGCTGACTAAGACACGGGCTTTGTATCATCATTTAATAATGTCTTTGATCATTCATTCAACCCTGCAATTTGAATCTTCACTAGTTTTATCACTTTCCCATATCTTCTCTCCTCTTTATTATCTGTTTGACATGTGCATGTTTTTTTACAAGCTTATGCAATCATGGGTCTCTGCCCCACCAACATTGGCAATGCTGCCATGTCACAATATAGGCAACCATTATCTTTTATGGAGATGCCCTAGTTCGTCAGATGATGACAGTATTCTGTGCTCATATATAGATCAGGTGTCACGGAAAATGCTGTGAATAATTCCTTTAGCCACTTTTCTAATTTACAGTAAAACTCTAATTACCAAACTCATTTTCATTCATTTTCACTCTAATTACCAAACTTATTATCATTTTACAGGAACCCAGTTAGCCCAGAGATGCAGGGGAATGGGAGAGGGCAGGAGAGGATAATAGACCTGCATGGGCTGCATGTTAGTGAAGCCATTCATGTCCTGAAGCGTGAGCTTACTATGTTGCGGAGTGCAGCTAGGTCAGCGGATCAATGCCTGCAGGTTTTTATATGTGTTGGGACGGGCCATCACACTAGGGGTTCTCGCACACCGGCCAGGCTTCCAATTGCCGTCCAGCGCTACCTGCTTGAGGAGGAAGGCCTTGACTACTCTGAGCCACAGCCAGGGCTGCTCCGAGTTGTCATATACTGAGTCAGGGAAGAGTAGGAGTTTTTTGACACACAGCATAACCCATGAAATCAGTCATGAATTCATTCTTGTATCTTTGTATATGGGAAGAAATGGAAATAGTCGAAGTATGCAAAAGAAAAAAGGAAAAAGAACAAAGAAAAAAAAAATTATGTTAGGAAGTTAAAAAAGAAAGGCAGGTAAAGTGTAATCAGCCTACGCAGAACTACATTTTGGTAGCCACTCAATGTCGCCTGGCCTATTTTTTGTTACATACCTTTTTTTTTTTTCTGTATTTTGTTGTAATTCAGATGTAACTGATAGATTCATTTACATGATAGGTCAGTGCACCAAGCATTCACGGTCTTGTTTAAATGCTGAAGTTCGTGAAACCTTCATTACACAGACACACACACACATACAGGAGGAGGGAGGGATGATGCAATTGACAAAGTGGTTGATATAAACCTGTAGGGTGATGGGTAATGCAGGGCTCTGATAAGTTCAATTAGGAAACAGTGGGGTTGATGTTAACTTGCATCTCACACATTTAAGGGTCGGAAAGTAGTAAGTGTGAACCTTGAGGGTGATTTATATTATGTCCTAAATGAAATGTAGTCAAGTTGAAATTTACAGCTTCAAGAAAAGAAACAAAGAAAGTGAATGAAGGAAACGAGGTGGGAAAAAAAAAAATTGAATGCAAAACGAAAAGAAGTAGCAAATTCTTGTAATAATGACTCTGCAAGCAAACCATTCTTTCTACTTATCTTCAGGTTCGCCTCAGAGCAGAGTTTTAGTATGATTCCAAAAAGGGGGGTGTTGGTTTTAATTAGATCAAAGATTCACCAATGACTTTATGAAAACAAGTCCCACATCCCCCCACCGCTAGGTTCGGGCCTTCTAGTTCAAGAAGTCAGACAAACCGTTTATAATGCATTTTCGGAATATGCATTTCTATTTCTTCTTCTTCTTTATATGTACTTTTTAAGTTGTATTTATTTTGTTGGCTTTATCGTTTTTTTTTTTTTATTTTATTTTTCTGAAATCCAGATTTATTCCAGTCTTCCAAGCTCAATCGTATGTATAGTATGTGCATACACATACGTAGAAATGTGTTATTTACATTAGTAAACTGTATACATATCATTTTGTTATGATGTATTGATTGAAAATATTTTCGGTTAGATGTCGAAATTGTTTTCTTAACTTAAAAAAGTTACAAGAACAAATATACCAAAACGGAAGCAATGTTTCCAACTCATACTATGAAAAGAATAGCATGCTCTATGGGAAGATTCCTATGGAAAGAATAGTTGGCTTGGTTCCTGATAAGACGTGTAAAAACTGACATTTTAGTCTATAACAATAGTGAAAGTACATTTTATTCAACAAGGAAAAAAAATTGTAACCTTTTGACGAATTAAAATCTTGACTAGACTTGGGTCCAATTCATGGGTTGAGCCAAAATCATCAAAAAACAAGTCAGGCTTAACCCACGACGTCAGTCTAGTCCAAAACTCAAGAGTTTAAAAAGAGTTAATGCACGTGAGAGAACAATCATTAGGATAATCATTATTTCAAGATAGTACCCATCCCCAATTATAGATATTCTCCCCGATAAAATAGTAGTTTCACCTTCACGTCACCGTCTCAGTCAGGGCTCTATTCCTATAAATTATAAACACTTTACACAGATCTGGGGACACTTCACCTTGAGTGTATTTTTGTTCTCTCTCTCTCTCTCCTACTACATTATACTCTCTCATTAATAGAATTCTCCGGCCACTGTCGCCGCCTCAGTGGTTAGGTCACCCAGACCCAACCACCAAATCTTTGTCTCTTATTATCAATTAATTTTTTAATTGCCCTACATCATATGCTCGATGATTTGATTGTATATCATCAATTTGGCGTCGTCTATTGGAAACGACTAAGTTTCTACTACCTTCAATTTGCCTTTACTTTCTCTCATGTGGTTATTACAACTAGGTCAATGAATCAACAAGTAGCGGAGGATAATGTTGGACCACCCCGCGATAAGGTCTCACCTTCGTTAGCAAACCCCATCGCTGTAGCAAATCTTGTGGCTAGACAACAACTATTGGAGACAATGCAGCTATTGGTGAATCAAAACCCAACAAATTCTCTAGTTGATGCTCGCCATTAGAGGAGTCGTGCCACAAATTGCAGGAGAAGCCATGCCTAGGCCTGCAGAAACCCCTAGGCAGTGCACCCAAGGCCCCCCCCCATACGGTACCCGGTGCCAGGGAGCCCCCTAGCGTCAAGGTATCCTTCCTTAATGCCCAGGTGCCCCAGCTCCCCCTCCTCACGTGCCGGCTCTGTCGTCACTTACTGGTGACCTTCCTATGTAGGAGAACGATGGAAAAAATAGTACATGGACCACGAAAGCTATTATAACAATCCTTCAAAAGGCATCCCAAACCAATGGAATGAAAAAAATCAAGGAGGTGCAGAATTAGCTGGGCGATGTCTTCAATGTCATCAAGGCGCGAGCGCTGGAAATAGTGGATTACTTGGTGAGGTGCATTGACACTCTATTCGTGGTTGATGTGGTCAATTACCCACTCCCCTCAAATTTCAAGATGCCCACTGTGAAAACTTATGATGGTTCAAAAGATCCACTCGAGCACCTCAACACTTACAAATCCCTCATGCAGTTGCATAATGTACTAGACGAGATAATGTGCAGAGCCTTCACTACCACCCTCAAGAGATCTGCATGCTAGTGGTTTGCCAAACTCAAACTAGTTGCTAAACTAAGAAAATCATTCGTCTCTCACTTCATAAGGGGATGCCGACATTAGAAGTCAGTCACCCACTTGCTTAGCATCAAACAAGATCGGAAGGAAAACTTAAGCAACTACCTCACTCGTTTTAACGAGGAGGCCCTCCAGATCGAAGAGGCAAATGACAAAGTCACCATGGCTGCCTTTATCGCAGGCCTACATTCGTCCAAATGTATGTTTTGGTCTTGAAGAACCACTAACAAGCATGCTGGAGTCATTGTCAAGGGCCTAGAAATATATGAACACTGAGGATGTCACCAAGGCCAGGTGAGGTGAGTCCTCCAGCGAAGGGGAGAAGAGGAAGGAACCCTCATGAGGACAAGAGAGAAACAGAGAATAAGGGAAAAAGGACATAGAGATTATCAGTTAAAGACCACCTTAACCCTGCACCTTTGAGGGAGTGGTAGGCCTTCACACTGCTTAATTGGTCAGTCGAGCATATTTTGCTCCAAATTTAGGATGACCCTATGATACGTTGGCGGGGGAAAATGAAGTCTATCCCAAATCGTAGGAACCCGAACAAGTACTACCATTTTCACCATGATCATGGCCACGACACTGATGATTGCTTTGAACTTAACAGACATATTGAGGACCTCATACAACATGGCCAGTTATGGAAATAAGTGGCAAGCAGAGGCCCTAGGAGAAATCCAGATAATCTCGGTAGGAGTAGGAGGAAGATGTGACTCCAACTCAGCCAGGAAGGCACATGCTAGGAAACTCAGAAATTAGGAGCCTAATGACCTCGCCCATCAAAGACACATAGGCAGGGAGAAGAAGAGTTCATCTCATTCTCAAATAGAGATCTTACGGGGATCCAACACCCCTATGATGACCTGTTGGTGCTGACTTACTTGATCCAAAATATGTACACCCAAGTACAGGTGGTCAAGTTATAGTAATAATTCAGTTAAGTCCGAAGTCGAATCCATAATGAACTAATGTTGGTGTTTCGAAGTAAGTAGTGACAAAAACCAAAGTGATTGGAACCCTTGAGATTTAAAGTTATGATGTTTATGGATTTTCTTGGATAGAATATAAAATTCTCTCTAAGAGGATGTTCTAGACAAAATATAATATTATCTCAAATACAAAAGTCACCCTTTAGCTCGAGAATCAAGACATGTAGTCAATCATCCTATTGTTATACTTATGTTTGAGAACTCAATTAACTCTTGTGTCAACATAAAGTTAATCGGAAGATAAAAATAGATTGTGAAAATTAAGAGCATGGTTCTGAAGTTTTTGTAGAGATTTATAAGAATTGTTTGTGTCGAGACTCAACCCATCTAGAAACAAGCAAGTGTTTCTACAAGGCATACAACCATGGTGTTAGTATTCCATTCTTAGTTGAAGCATAATAATGATGACGATTGACAGGTAGTCATAAAGATCAAGCTGGAGTACTTGCAAAGGACCAATGAGTCTTCCTATGCCAAGAGTCATCTATGCCATAGAAAAGACTCATGGTTGTATAAAGTACCTTAGCTTTGCTAGATGTTTTCAATCATTCATTAAACAAGTAAGAGATAGAGCATTAAACATAAACGAAATGCACAAATATAACTTTCAAACGATTTATACATGGCCATCACCTCTTACTAAAGAGTGAATGAAAAACTGATCACTCTTCATGGCTTTGGTAAAGTAAGAAAAGTGAGGGATTCTTATTCCTCCAAGTAGAGGAGTTATAAGGTAAAACATACTACACAAGGAATCGATCTTCGATAAAGAATGAGTGAATCACATTCCACCCTTCATGACTTTGGTAAAACTCTAACAAAGTGGACGAGTTTCACTCCTCTAAGGGAAGAAGGAAGCTCAAACAATAGAAGCAAGTGCAACTAATAATGAAAGTAGAGGAAAGCTAGTCACTTTTAGAGGTTTTCCTCCTCAACCAAAAGATGATCTATCTTCCTCTACCTATAGCTAAGTGCAAGTGTATGCAAGTGTAAGTCTAAGTCTAAGACTAACTCTAAGTTTTACTCCCTTGAAGCACAATGTGAGTATTTATAGGCAAGGAGGAGGGGGCAAGGAAATGTGAAAGAATAGTAGAAGGTCTTTAAAGTCCAAATGAATGCCCTAAGGTCCGGATAGAAAATCAACCACTCTGTTGCCTATTTGGGGACAACGTTTGAACGTTAGATGGCGTTCGAACATTGCCTCCTGTCTTCCTTGATGGGCGTTTGAACGCCAGATGGAGTTTGAACTTCCTACTCAAGTGGCCTTTGTTCTTCTATTGAGAGTAATTGCAACATGCCATAAACCATTGTACTCTTCCAAGGGTCCTCAATTAATTCAAGGAAATGTTTGAACGTGGATTGGCATTCGAACATGGTACTCAAGTACCTCTTTGTTTTTCTTCTAAGATGCAACATGCCATGTATCATCACCTCAGTAGTCTGGTCCTCAAATAATTCAAGAGGACTTTCGAACGTGGATTGGCGTTCGAACGTTCATGCCTTATTTCAAACTTCTCCAATTTTCTTCCAGAACATGTGGGTGTTGCATGAAAATTTAGTATCCATTGACTTCATACCCTTATACAATCT